AAACACAGCTTATGTAAAAATAAAGTCTTTCTATAAACTACCGCCCATAGCTTAATCAGTTATTAGTCAATTTACTTTTTTTACATCGTGACCATTTAAATATAGTTTTCAAAGAATTTCTAATTAGCAGGAAATAGAAGGTTAACTACAGTAAAAACAAAAAATTATACTAATGTATTGCTTTAAAATTAAATGGGATTTACAGGATATCATAATAAAAGCTTAAAATATATTTAAGTATACAAAAGGGAGACTAGCAACCGAGAAATAAGTGTTATTCCATGATGATAACGGAACAAAGGGTCTACTATCCAAAAAAAAATTATAAAAGAAATGAATTATTTCTTTTTTTATAGTCAATGATTTTAGGAAAATATCTACCTTCTACTTGTTTCTTAGACATATAGGTTAGAGATCTAAAAATTATGCAGTAGAAAAATGTAAAAGGTAAACTGAATGGATCCATAAAGATCATCTAATCTATATTCATTTTTGGTCCAATATGATAGTCACAAACCACTATTACCACCAAGCATGTGTAACAGAGCTAGTTCAGGGGGCGCCTGGGTGGCTCAGTCGTTAAGCGTCTGCCTTCGGCTCAGGTCATGATCCCAGGGTCCTGGGATCGAGCCCCGCATCGGGCTCCCTGCTCTGCAGGAAGCCTGCTTCTCCCTCTCCCACTCCCCCTGCTTGTGTTCCTGCTCTCTCTCTCTAATAAATAAATAAATAATCTTTAAAAAAAAAATAGAGCTAGTTCAAACTGAGAGATTTTGTTAAGTATAAAATATACTCTGAAGTTGGAAGACTTAATTTTAAAAAGTCAAATATTCCACTAAATTTTTATATTGCTTTTATGTTCAAATGATAATATTTTATACATACTAAATTAAGTAAAATGTATTCATAAAATTAATTTTATCTTTACTCAGTTTCGAATGTGGCTACTAGAAATTTAAAATCACACATGTGACCTGCATTATACTTCTACTGGACTGTTGAATTTTAGTGTCTTCAAAATTTACAATGTAAGCCACATAACAAAGTAAGTATGAACGTCTCACGGAGACCTGATGGCAATTTTCTTAAAGCTTTTAAATAATTAAAGAAGGATATTGGGGAACTGTTGAACAAAATGTAAGCATCATTCTCAAGGAATAGCTGTCAGAGGTCTTTTATTGTCAGAGTCCTCCTATGGCTACCATGATGTCGTCTGCTCATGAAAAGTCTTCTAGTGAAGACTGCAGGAATTATAGACAGAGGAGTCTCACTGGGACAGTGGAAACCTTAATAGTTGGTTGATACAACCAAGATGATGTGTCTTTGGAGGTCTAACACTTCTCATAAAGTTCTTTGAGGAAAAAAATACTATATAGGAAGGAAAAGTATATTGAAGCCAGGTAGCCTTTCTACAAGTCTCTTGATAGACTGTCATCACAGTGAGTCTCCTTGGTAGTGAGTGGGAGAGCAACAACACATAGGTAATTACTGGTTTAGATGCAAGAACGAAGAGTTTGCAGCAAAAAAGGACAGATGCCAGGCATGTAAGTGGAAGAAAAATTGTCCCAGATATAAGTGATGGGTGATAATCTCATTTAACCTGAAACAACACTGAACAGTATCATTTAGGACATGAACTGAAGAAGGCACATCACAAAAAAAAAGTGAGTTTTACAAAACAATAAATTCTTCATTCAGATTAAGGAAAGGCCAAAGTAATGGAGAAATACTTACATATTTTTTCTTTGTGTAAGGCAATGAAAGCAGGTAGGGGGGGAAGGATGGGGTGGGGATGGTGTGATGTTTTAAAAAGGGTGATCCAAGCAGGTCCCATCTTAAGCATCAGTCTCAAGTTAAAAGTCATGATGCTTTTTAGAAAATAGGAATAATCTCGAAAAAATATTTTTTAAATCTCTTATCACTGTCTGTCTTGGAGTTCTCTTGGAGCTCTCCTTTGCTTATTTGCTTAAAAAATAATAATTAAGGCCTGGCAAAAAGAATGGAATACCGCATAAACTCTGGCCAGATTTCCTGAGAATACTCCTTGCTCTTTTATGTTCCTAAACCATTGGTAGTAGCTCTCTTTACTACTTCCTTTAAAATAAAAAAATAAATTGGACATTCCCATCCCCCCCTCTTTTTTTAGGTTTCCAAAATGTTACTTATCTCAAGGAAAGTATCTTTTCATATTTTATTGTCTTTCTGACCTGAAAACTAATTTCGCCATTAACCCTGTTGCACCAAGAAAGTCCAGGTTAGCTTATCAGAGAGAGGTTATATCATTCTATAACACTATGAATATAAATCACATATGTAATAATAATAATAACTATTTTTATCAAGTAATTATCCTACCTACTAGGGACTCTTCCAGGCTCTTTTTAAAAAAAATAAATATATATATAATTCTAATTTAACCTGCACAACACTGTTAGTCTTATTATTGTCAATTTAAAGATCAATAAATAAGAGATTAAGTACTGTATCCCAGAACAGGCTGCAAACAAGAGATTTCGAATTGAGACTCCTAGCACATGAAGGATGGTTGCTCAGGAGATGCATCCAGTGAGCTTGCTTATTTACAAGAGGGTCCAATTCTGACATTTGTGTTTGCAGCTATTACTCTAGAGAGCTCAGCATAAAGCTTGGACAAGCCCTTATCTGGTACAACAATGATGACCTCTTATTTTCGTGCAAGAAAGTGTTAAGCACATATTTGTCCCCCTGACTCATCTATGAATAAGAATACTCTTTCTATGTCATAACGAGCAGGGAACAGGGAAGTTTGAACAAATTCTCATAGTGAGACGTCTGAAAGGTGATTTTGCAAACAAGACTAGTTCTGTTTGGCCTGAGGACTGCACAGGTCTGCCTGAGATGCCAGGCAGGGCAGGTCGGCTTGGGCACAGGGCTATCTATGCTGAAGGCAGCGTGCATATGAAAACCACGGCCTTTGTGTAAAACCCACCTAAGTTTTATGAGACGGTGTAACTTAAGTCATGCGTTCTCTTGCCTAGTTTTACCGGCAGCCCTTCCCATTGAAGGGAGATACAGCATACAAAAGAGAAATTTCCACTATTACTCTGAAGCATCTATCTTAAACATATATAAGAAGTGTCCTTCATGGAAAATTGTAAAAATTAGAGTGCCATAGGATTCCTATTTCAGTAACCATGCATCTGCTTTCTTTCTCCTCAGATATTTCCAACAGTAGGCCTCAATTACTTCCATATCTGAAGGGGCCACAAATTTTAAGTATTAGGTATTTTTTTCCCTTCCACAGCATTTCTACAAATAATGGAATAAAATATTTTTCCAATGAACGCCTTAGTGGTTTATTAAATTTTAAAGCAAAACACATAAACAGCTTTGCTTATAGATTCATAAGTATCATTTTAATACTCCTTAAAATCATTAAAAGTTTTATTGGCAATTCTGCTTCCATTTTTGATGCTCTTTTAGCTTGTTTTAAATTCCTGATTCAAATCCCAGAGGTTGGAACTTTCTCATTTGCATTAATATACTTTCTTCTTAAACATATAAGAGACTCACTAAATTAATGTATAAACAGCATTGGGGCACCCAGGGCTCAAGGCAAGAACATAATTACTCTGGAGAGAGAACATTTTCAGAACATATTCTAATTCAAAATAGGTTTACCTGCTAATGTGCTAACAGATGACTAGCACCATTTCTAGGAGCACTACTTGACTTAATATGTTCAGAGACCAGACTTATGCTGAAAATAACTGAGACCTTTTAGGGTCTAGATTTGCAGGAATCAAGATTATTTTGGAAGGAGATACTAATTAGGAGGGAAATGAGACCATGTCTCAAAAACAGGATTTATAATATGGATGCAGTCTGAGATAATAATAGGATGTTGCAATCAAGTTAACTACCTTTACTAATGCTGAATTTACTGGGATTTTTTGCCCTTGACTCTGAAGCTGACAATATCTACCTAGAATATCACAGTCTTTTAAATCTTGCTATACCTTAGGCATCACCACATCTCACTCCAAAATCGAACACACAAATAGGCACAAGACAAAGCCAGGCTTCATATTTAGACACCCACACGTCCTCCGTACCTCTCAGACTTGAATCTTTTCTCCCCTGCCGCATCAAGTCTTCCAAAACTGCTCTACCTGGGCGCTCCCCATGTTCCAGATCTTTCCAATCTCTTGATTTCCTTATATATATATCCTTCCCCCCAATGACCTGCTTTCTGCTAGGAGACAATTAATCTGAAAATAAACCCATTTAAATGCGTGAATGGGTATGTAGAGTCCACATATTTCTATGTGTGTTAATAAGTATTATCTGAAGATGATATATTTTTCAGTAATCATACTTTTTTCTCAATTTTAGCAGTGCATAGGACCCACCTGAAGATCATAATTTAACAGGTATAGAACCTTTACTGGACATAAAAATCACCTGGAGGTCTTGTGAAGTCTCAGATTCCCAGGCTCCACCCCCAGAGTTTCTGATTTGCTAGGTCTGGGGCAAGGCCCACCTTTTTACAGTCCTAATATGTACTCAGATTGTGCTGTGGCCGCTGGTGGAGGAAAGCATGCTTTGAGAACCACCGGTCTGGAGTTAAATTTACGAGATCTCCAGCTGACTCCTATATTAGCCAGTATTATGATAAACTTTTCTTTTTTTTTTATTTTTTTTTAAAGATTTTTTTTTTTTTAATTTATTTGAGAGAGAGAGAATGAGAGAAAGCAAGCACATGAGAGGGGGGAGGGTCAGAGGGAGAAGCAGACTCCCTGCTGAGCAGGGAGCCCGATGCGGGACTCGATCCCGGGACTCCAGGATCATGACCTGAGCCGAAGGCAGTCGCTTAACCAACTGAGCCACCCAGGCGCCCGATAAACTTTTCTAATCACATGTAGGAAGTCCTGTAGTGGGCATTCCTGAACTAAGCCATGTTAAATGTATTTGTTGTTGTTCTTAGGGACAGAAACTTTGTTTTTCTCAAAATATAACACATATTACACACTCTACTTAGGGATAATTCTGTTCACTTGTACATATTTCTTTTTTTTTAATAAGATTTATTTAATTGAGAAAGAGAGAGAGAGAGATTGAGAGAGCTCGCATGAGCGCAGGGGACAGGGGAGGGCAGAGGGAGACAGAGAATCTTAAGCAGTCTCCACACCCAGCAAGGAGCCTAACATGGGGCTCGATCTCACAACCCTGAGATCATGACCGGAGCTGAAATCAAGAGTCAGCTGCTTAACCGACTGAGCCACCCAGGAGCCCCCACCTGAACATATTTCTTAACCAACTACTATTTTCTATTTTTTTTTCACTTTTTGCATTTTATTGGCTCAGGGGAGGGGCCTCCTCCATGTCACCAGGGGTGCTCACAAGTTCTCAGCCACTCCAAGCTTGGGCCCTGGGGGTCCTGGAGGTGGCTGGGCATGTCGGGAATGTTCCCATCATCTTGGAGGGGCACTGGATAGTTGTAGGGCATGGCCTGGTTGATCACGGTGGCGTATTTGGTGAAGGGGCTGAGGGTGGGCAGAATTAGAGCGAGGCCCCCAATGGTGAAGGACACGACCAGCATCAGCTCCTTGGCCCAGGCATCCTTGAGGAAGGTGGCGAGTCTCCCGGCCATCTTGGTCGCAGCGGCCCTATTTTCTATTTCTGGACAAACTTCTATACCATGACCAAAAAAATCTCTGATCTATAGAAGCCATATCATCTTAGGTATGTGAACAAAAATTATGTACTAGGCTTTCTTCAAAGAGCTCGAATGTTTTAATTTCATCATGAAATTGATGGCAAATAGATTGAAATTTAATTTTCAAATGCAGATTGTATGGATCCATAATCACAATATTCACAGTGGAATATTATGACATTATAATATCAGGGTAGCACATCAGGAATCTTATTTACAGGATGACCCTTGGATCTTGTGAAAAAAATTGTGAAGTCCCATTTGTGAGTGAGAGACAATACCTCACAATCCCAAAACCGTCAAATGTGAATAAATGCTGCTTTAGCTATGGGGTAGGCCAAGTACAGGAAATGTATTCACCTTACCATAGAGAAGACAAAATAACACCAGCTGATCAACAGAATAAAATGCATGTGAGGGGCACCTGGGTGGCTCAGTCGGTTAAACCTTTGCCTTTAGCTCAGGTCATGATCCCAGGGTCCTGAGATCAAGTCCTGCATCGGGCTCCCTGCTCAGCAGGGGTGGTGGGGTGTCTGCTCTTTCTTCTCCCTCTGCTCCTCCTGCTTGCTTGTGCTCTCTCTCTCTCTCTCAAATAAATAAATAAATAAATCTTTAAAATAAAAATACAAATAAAAAATGCATGTGAGTGTAGCACTAGATACTTTTTGATGAAGATCTCTGACCATGGAATGAAAAGCTAATCAGTGTGGTGAAGAGTGAGTCATATGAGGCTAAGGAAAAGTAAATGAGACTTTTAAGAATCAGTAATAACTCTGAATAACAGTGTCACAGTCTTTGATGGTTCCTAAATATGAGTAGTCTGGGGAAACAAGTTCTATAGCATATTTATTTTATTACAACTTTATTCCCCATCTTAGGAACTTAATTTTAATTGAACAAAATTCTTTTTTTTTGAAAGATTTTATTTATTTGAGAGAGAGAGATTGAGAGAATGAGTGGGAGGAGGGACAGAGGGAGAAGCAGACTCCCTGTGAATCAGGGAACCCGAGGTGGGACTCCATCCCAGGACTCTGGGATCATGACCTGAGCGGAAGGCAGACACTTAACCAACTGAGCCACCTAGGCACCCAACTAAAAAAAAAAAAAAAAAAAAACTTAAAAAGAAATAATTTTAATTATTTGTGCAAAAACCAGGCTACAATCTGACCATTTTAGGAGAAAGTTAAAAAGTATATATATTACAAGTTGTTGAGAGAGTGGAAATTTAAAATGTAAAATCACCCATAGAAAAAAAAGGGCGGGGGAGAGGATTAATATTGAGAAATAAAGATATAAGTGGAAATAGAGCTTATAAAATAAATTGGAAGGAATCAATAATTTACACTAAAAGCCTTTAAAAATACCCAATAGGTTAGAGGCAATGTTTGAGGGACAAATGAAAATAAGTGGCAGAAATTTTATTAGCACATGGGGCACTTGAGTGGCTCAGTCGGTTAAGCATCAGACTCTTGATTTTGGCTCAGGTCATAATCTCAGGGTTGTGAGACTGAGTCCCAGGTCGGGCTCCGTGCCAAGCATGGAGCTTTTGCTTAAGATTCTCTCTCTCCCTCTGCTTTCCTCTCCAACCCCCCTACACTCTATCTCTCTCTCTAAAAAAAAAAGAAATTTTAATAGCACAAAAAGACAATTTTTTATACTTATATCAATTATTTGAGAGATATGAGGAAAAATACTCATCTCATGACTACCCAATTGTAGACCCAACAATACACTTCATTTTATACAAAGGAACAAACTTCACTGAAGCTTGTAATCTGTACTGTCATTATTAACTCAATGAAAAATTTTACTTTCTCTTGACCAGCTGACTCACACAGATTTTCATTCTAGGGAAGAGAATTAAACTTGTTTATTCACAGTTAATTCAAATGGATCTGTGTTATTAACTGCATTCATTCAACACATATCACATTAACATTAGATACTGTACTAAATCTTTCTTCTACAAAGAAATGCATAAGCATGTGCCCTGGCCTTAAAGAGTTTTGAACCTGGCAAAGGGAACGATATATTTGCACAAATACCTTCAGTAAGGCTGCATCAGATACTGATGATAAGGGACAGGAAGGAGAGAATCTATCCCACTGAAATGATCAAGAAATAGTTTACGATGGAGATGCCTTTTCAGCTTAACAGTAAAAGATGGAAAACATGAAGTGTAGGTCAACATAGCAATAACACTTAAATCTGGATACTATCCCAAGGGATTTTTAGGTTCTTTGAATGTTTCTGCATTTTCTGTTTTCTTTTTTTATTTTTTAAAGATTTTATTTATTTGACAGAGAGAGACACAGTGAGAGAGGGAACACAAGCAGGGGAAGTGGGAGAGAGAAGCAAGCTTCCCGCTGAGCAGGGAGCCTGATGCGGGGCTCGATCCCAGGACCCTGGGATCATGACCTGAGCCGAAGGCAGGCGCTTAACGACTGAGCCACCCAGGCACCCCAAGATCATATAACTTTTATATAAGTATTATCTATAATGATAAAGCACACATAAAATATAATACAAAGTTGAGAGGAAGAAGATTTGTAATATTACTCATTCTAATTATTCTAATTATCACTCATTTATATTTATAGGCAGAATAATACTAATTATATGAATAATAATTATACCAAAATAGTAAATGGTTGAATGCCAACAATGCATTTAGCATTTTAGCAGATTTATAACTGCAATCAGGTCTGCTTCCAAAAATGTATATATAAATACCAATGCTCTAAGTAAATCAGAGATTTACATCGAAATTGATCCTAGGGAATAAAAAAAGCTGATGATATTACTGCTCTCCATATTTCACTTTTCTCAAGTCAATTTGAATATGTATGCTCAACATATATGTTGAGCATTAAACTAAATTCTATAGATTGATAAACTGTGGAAGAAGTCAGCTCACCTCTAAAACCTTTTTCAACAACATTCATGACAGATAATCACTGCCTTCTGCCTGATCACCAGCAGTAAGATCCCACCAACTATTTCACTATGCCAGTTTTTCAAGAATGCTCTTTCTAAAATCCAATTTACATCTACCATACTTTGCCCCGAGTTCTTTTTGGGGGTTTTTAGTAATAATAGCAAAAATAATATTTAAGCATAATTACTATCATATATCATATTGCAATCTTCAAAATATTTATGATAATCCCTCATATCTCTCTAAGTTCTTGGCTCCACATTGAATATCTGTAGTTGATTTTTGCCATAACTTGGCCTTGAGACTCTTACCATCTTAGATTCCATTTTTGTGTATAACTCATAACTAGATTAAGGTCATTAGTATAATTTGGACACTGGGAAACACCACAAGGTGTCTAAAATTTTGGCCTTTGGAGTCAAATAGTTTGATCTAGGACAAGTCGCTTAACTTCTAAGTCCATGTCTTCACTGGTGACTTGGAAATAAAGTGATAATTAGTAGTACTACTAATGATTAATAATAATAATGATGATGATACCAGCCACCTGATAGTATTAGGGTATGGAACAAATACAATAATACATGAAGCACGCAGCAAAGTCCCTAACCATATAGAAGGATGAAAACAAATATAGAAATAAGACATGGTCCCTGCCTCCATGAAGCTTTCACATTAGAAAGGAGACAAAGCCGTAACAAATAATAATGTAAAGTAGGATTACTGGAGGGAAGTTATAGCAGCATTTAAAAATTTATGTATTTTACTAAATAAGATTTACTTGTACATTTCTCTAAGTGCAGAGCCCCATGCTTGCATAGACATGTTTTAAGATTTAAGTTATGCAATGTGGTTCTATTTTCTCAGACTTTTAATGCATTTGGAAATTGAAGACAGTGGCAAGATTACGTTGTCATATGAGAAAGACTAAGGAGACGGGCATGGGGATCTAAAAAACTTCCAAGTTGGAATCACCCTTGTGATGTTTATAATATTCCTTAACTCTTTCATAATATTGTACAATCTTTAACACTTCAAACTTGAGAATTTTCATCTACACTCTCTCTTCCATATTATTTGGAACATAATGAATAAGACTCCTGCCAGGAGTGATTCTTAATAGATCCTCTGTAACATTTCTTCACCTCCTGAAATAAATTGTTCTATCTTGTGTATTTCCTAATCAGTGAAATTTCAATTTTAACTACAGAGGGCAATATGTTTATTTAATATTTAACACTGGTATGACAAAAACTTTTGAAGTGGTGACTTGTCAACTGCAATGAGAATAAGAGATCCGTCTAATTAATCTCCTTTTCAATATCAAGTTAACTTTTTTTTTTCTGGAAACATAAATTGGAGATAATTGGAAGTCATGGTTTGAAAAATAGAAGCAGTGTCTCCTTGTGTTCTTTACTTTTGCTATCGTTGTATCCCTTGTTTCCCTCTGAACATATGGTGAACCCTTTGCAACATTTGGTGCTGTTGATCACCTACATATGCTTTAAACTACCTCCTCCCTCAACATCTAGGGTCTCATTACTCTTCTTGCTTTCACATCTTTCCAGGGAATATAGTCAAAAGCTCATTCTTTGGATCTTAGTTCTTTTCCCTACATAACCACATATAATCTTAGATTCCTTTGTGCAAATTAATATAAACCTTTTTTTTTTTGCCTCCAACACAATTTCCATGCTGTGCGTATGACATATGTCATGCATAACACTTCAAATTCATTATTTCCTCCCCACTCCCAACAGTTTTGAAACCATTCTCTCCATCCCCCAAAATAAAACATTTGTCTTCACCTCCAAGTTTCTGTTGATTTTTGCTTTGAATGATTTGCATATCCATCTTAACTCTTTTTGTTTTCCATCTTGGCTCTGTCTTTAAAATTATAGTCACCACTTCACTGGCTAAAACTTTAGTTCCTTTAATGCTTTGATCTTCTTGGAATTTTGCTGTGTAAGGGATGAGATACATATAGAGGCAGTGGAATTTTCCTAACTTTCCACTTGCATTCACACTATTTCCTATGTGTGCAGGTACCTTTCCATTTGTATTTGGGCATATTTCCATTCTGTTCCTTTGTACCAGTACCTTACTGTTTTATTCACGGAGTCTTGATCATATGTTTTAATAGCTTATAGAGCTAACCATCCTTCATTGTTCTCTTTAACAGAATTTCACTAATTATTCTTACAAACTTATTTTCCCATATGAGCTCTAAAATAAATATCTCTAGCTCAAAATCCCTATTGATTTGCTTTTTATTTCAGATTAATTTAAGGATGGATTAGTACAAGAAGAACTGGCATCTTTATAATATTGAGTCTTTCTATTTGCAACCATAAGATTAATCACAAATTAAGAGTGGTAAACAATTACATTTTTATTTTCAGATTATTATTAGCAGTAGAATTTTAAGAACTATTGTATTTTCAAATTCTGCCTAAATGTTTGGGTGATG